GGGTTAACGACTTGGTCACGTTACCGACACACACTATAGCTAGAATGCTCCTTTTTTTTTTTGCCACTATACAAAAGAAATTATATGGATTCGGTTAATTTGTCGAAGAACCAATTTTTTAAAATAACTAGATAAGTAATCAAAATGGCCCATGTGACCAAATAATAACTATGAGATTTAGAGTATTTGGTTAAAATTTTCATTATAGTTTTTTTTTATGGTTATCTTTTGCTAATTTCCCTTCCACAAATCCAAATTGATGATTATCTTCTCTGATTAAAACCTCATTCATTATTCCTTAATAAATTATTAATTCATCAAGTTGGTTTATCAATGTCCAATACAATAATTAAGAGTTAATATTGAACCGTACCAATGATGTATACCGATTCAGAAAAATAACTAAACCATGGCCAGTTGACTTAATTTGGTGGACAAGGTGGGCAGGTACATATTTACGAGCTGTTCGATATGTTTCCAACATACATACTAGTACATGATTTACATAATTTGCTTCATCTAACTACCGTAACATCTTCGCTATGGTTGAGTGGATGAACCGAAACTGTAATAAATATTTTATGTTTCTATGTTTTTTTTTTGTCACGGGACCATTTGTCTATAAATCATAAACCTAAACTGTTTTCATTTTTAATGAAATATTTACATTTTTAGCTAAATAAAAAAACATGGTTTACAAGGTTTGCTCTTAGATATATATATTTGTAACATGGCTAAATAGAAAATTCTAATGTTTCTTAAAACACAAATAAATTATTTTTCTGTTTTTTGTTCGATCCATTATTTGTGTTTTACCTAGTTAAATTGTACATTGATTCATGTTTTTCAACCCATTATATTACTATATTTAAGTGATTAAATAGTAGATCAGTAAATCAAATTTTGTTATCACTCTAGCTAGCTAACCAGTATGTATATATGTTGAACCTATTTGATAAATGCACATTAATGACGTAAACATACAAATATAGTCTTTAGCCATAATATTAAACCGAGTTGAACCCAAACATACGAAATAGACATAAAATTATCTTCCATTATTAAGCAGGAATGGAAACTAAACTGAAACCGAATGTTGTTCCATTCCACTTTGGTACATTTTAATATTCGCATGAGCTTCCTTCCTTTTTTTTTTTTTTTCAAAATGGACCATTTTCTAAGCAATCATCATAGAGGTTCTCGATATTTTGTTGGATACGAATCTGTATATAGAACGGCCAATAGGGGTATGCTTTTATCACGGGCCGGTCAAGGAATCTTGGATCTTATAACAATGACAACAAGTGAAGTGAATGTGGTTCTTACTTCTTAATTACACGTCCATACGTACTACTTCCGATTAGATTCTCCCAACTCCCAAGATCCCAAGAAGTTGGAGGTGAAGAAAAGTTGTTCCATACATTTTGTAAAGGCCTTCTACTTTTTTCTTCTTTTCCTTACAACCTTTTGAAATCAACAGAATCGTATTGTATAAAACCTTTAAATGTCTCTATATCAGTATACATACATGATGACTTTTATTCGATCTCCTTTAATTTGGAAAATTTTGAAGTGATCTGTTGTGGTAATTACTTTAAGTGATTAAAGGGAAATATGATGCTTCATGTCAGGCTTAAATCCACTAATTTAGTAATTTACCTATCTCATATTTTTTTGGGTTAAAGAGTATCCATAAATTTTAACATATTTTTTTAACCAAACAAGTACAATCAAACTTTCCGACCAAAAAAGTTACAATCAATCTTAAGTAGCAAAAGGTGGAATTGAGAAGAAATATTATGCTTTGCTTATCTTGATATATGTTGAGAGGCTAACAACTATTCAATGGTTCCTTTAATATTTCCAACAGTGGATTTTTTGATGCTCTTTTAATAACTAAAATATGATTCGCGCTCAAACTCGGATTAATACTCAAAATTTGTAGAAAGTCGAATGTTTTTTCTGTTATTTAAAAGGGAGATTTTGAGAAATATCCTAAATTTTAATGGAAATTTGAAAATATACTTAATCTTATAAAGTTAGAAAAATATACCATTTTGTTACGTAAAAGTACGTAAATACCCTTATACATATTTAATATGCTAAATAAATTAAGAA